GGGTCAAAATGATTGATTTTTCTTTTATGCCAAAAATCATTAGGATATTAAGTAAAAATCATGTTCCATGAAGACATTTTGTAAATATGATTAGTAATATGCATTGCTAAGAACTTAATTTGGACAACTTTAAAGGCGATTTTCTCAATATTTAGATTTTTTTGCACCCTCAGATTCCAGATTTTCAAATAGTTGTATCTCTGCCAAATATTGTCCTATCCTAACAAACCATACATCAATGGAAAGCTTATTTATTCAGTAAATAAAGATGTATAAATCTCAATTTTGAAAATTTACCCTTATGACTGGTTTTGTGGTCCAGGGTCACATATATATGCACCATGTGAAGAGAAGTAGAATACCTAACAGTTTCAGTTCCTCAATTTAAAGGATATGATGCTTAGAACCAATCCGATGTGTTACCATTTAGCCCCTCCTCTTCAGGTACATAGGGAAATAATGCAACTGATGAGTGCATAAAATGCCCACACTTATTTTGTAGTTGAGGAAGTGTACTCTTAGTGCACTATGCCTCACTGCATTTAATTATTTATTTTTTTTGGACTCACACTATTTTATGGTATTGGTACAAAACACATGGTGTTTCACATCAATAAGATGACATGTTACAGAGTGTTGGCCTGAGTGATTTCTGAAAGGATGAAGGGATTAAAGAAGAATGACATTTAGACAGGACAAACTGGAGGCAGCTCGGTGTTTTGTAGGGTTTGACTTGGAAAAGGGCCAGAGTGATCGGAGCATGTGCTCTGAAAGGAAAAAGAAATTAAAAAGCCTGCAAAGGGGACAGATTAGGAGAGATCAATCACACAACTTCAGCAGTTGAGATCGGGCCACAGCTGTCATTATGAGCTCTCTTTCAGAGAGAATGAATGACAGAGGAAGAATGCGCAGGGGATGCATTTTATCCCACTGGTCAGATGACTGCTGCTCTAATGGAGGCCACCACTTATACATGGCGTCTGGCTCAGCTGAGTGAATGAATTGGTTGATTGAACAATGTGCCGTCTCTGTCTTGCATACTTCCTCAAGAGTAACAATCAATAGAGGCTTGGGTTCTTCTATCCAAACAGGAAGGTGTGTTTTTGTGGAGATGTGTAGAATTAAGTTTCATTTAGGCTTGTTTTGGCAATGAAGCAAAGCTTGTTTCGAAGGTTTCTGAGGGATAACTTCTGTTACTTTGCTTTTGATGTAAACTATGAATTGTTTTACTGATTTTCTTGACTCTACTTGAGGATACTATACTTGATTTTCTTCCTAAGAGAAAAAATGTCATGATAAAATTGGCAATATATTTTGGCACTGGTATTGATAACCTGGTAATTGTTTTAATCTTGTGGTTTCATCTTAATATATTTGGTCAACATAAAAAAATAAAACTCAAATTTAAATTAATTGTTTACATTTTAAATTTAAATACAGTGCATTTAGGCATCATAACATTATAATGTACAGTATGATTTGGATTAAATGGATTTTCATTTTGAGATTTGCTAAAGATTTAGCTACATTTAACACTGTTATTAAAGTAAGCATGGAAATGTCATAACTGGATGATCTGGTGGAAATGACATACTTCTCTCTCCAGCCCTGTAAGCTCATGTTCATCTGCATTTTGAATGCAATGCACACTAGAAAATACATCACAATACAGAAGAAAAAGCTCAGACGTTCCATCAATTTCATCGCAGCTTTAATTTTTTTTGTGTGTTTTTAAAGATAAACTATGAATGAGCATTAAGCCCAAGGTATACTTGAGTTTTGACATGAACGATAAGCATACAGCATAGCCTTTTGAAGTATACTCCATTTGATTGTATGTGCGAACAATGTAAAAATATGGGAAATGATCATGTACAATACAAACAGATCAGTTACATAGACCATCTCCAAGACCATATTAGCAGCTATGCAAGGGTCCTGCTGCTCCATTTTGTACTTTCAAACATCCCGCATACGGCAATGAGAAAGCAATGAATCTCCATTTTGCTTTTGGCAGCGCCACCATGCTTCGTTGGAAAGAGGCGTGAAAGGCAGATGCCGTATCCAACTTCACTAGTCCTTTAAATGAATGTATTGTTTGAGTGTGTGTGTGTTTGCTTGCCCTCAGTAGTTAGTGTAGTCGCACCCAGCTATCCATCTTCATTTCTCATTTTAGACTGTCTGACAAGAGTCTAACAAACATAAAATTTGATAGTGATCCTCTGTCGCTTGTATTCAGAAATACTTCGGTAGGACAAGTAAAGAAATTGTGCTCCCTTTCGTTGGGTTGCAAAGGCCAGTTGGACTTCGAACTGTAGACTAACTAATAAAACGCTATTGCACTGTTATCTAATGGCACTTTTCCACTGCGTGGTACGACTTGGCTCGGCACGGCTCAGTACAGTTCGGCACGGTTTGCACTTCCACTGCAGTTTAGTACCACTTTAGAGTGGGCGGGATTATTCACATGTCATTATCGTTGCGCTGCCTCTACTGCCACGACTCCTAAAAAAAACTTTTTCATTCTGCGTCGCCCCATCAAGCTCTCACTGGATCCGCTCCTCTGCTATCAACGAGAGGAACGTCTGTTCTTCCGCAACAGACAACAAAACTTTTTGGTTGTTAAAAAAAAGTGCACTCGTTCAAAACGGTTGCGTTGTGGTACTAAAAAAAGTACCAGGTACCAGGTACTGTACCCAGTGGAAAACCCCCAAAAAGTGAACTGTACCGAGACGTACCGTGCCGTACCATGCAGTGGAAAAGCGCCATAATTAGCCCTGCTATTTTCATCTGGGTCAGAAGTTTTTGGAGTTACCCATGTTGTCTAGTTTAACCACAAATCTGCCCTTAAATAGAATGACCTACAAGTTAGCATCTCAGATGTAGAGAGACAATAATCTAATGATTCTGTCACAGGATGTTGCGAGTCGCTGGATAAGCATGCCTCCGCTTGTAGTTTTAAGTGTCAGTCGATTGCTGTGCAAAGGCCTTTGCTGGGCTGGGTCATTAGCGTAGCTTGCTATGTTAATTGCCATGGATCCTACTTGACAGCAGAAATGTATGAAGACCGCTGAACTTTAACCCTAGTCTGGATATGGGCGCAGAAATATCCAATTACAAAACCCTACGGAGAATTAGCACCAAAGCTATGGTGTTAATTGTTACTACAGCCATGTGCAGGTTTCGTAGCCGCTATGCTAAACCTCTGCCTACTGGTTTTAAAATGAGTCATTTGATTTTGCTTTCAGGTAAAGTTTTAGACCTAGATCTGCTTGTTGATCTCTCTTCCGTTTCTGACTTCCCCTTGACAGGTTTAGATACGTAAATGTTAGCCTGTGTCGCACTCTTGCAACAGCTTTACTTCTTTGCAGCTTTCACTTCAGTTAGCCAATGGTCAAATTGTAGAAATCTGTGTTTAGATTTGAAACTGTAATTTCCTGTAATTCTGTGCATCAAAACCTTCACAGTTGCTGTTTCAGTATATTTCTTCTTAGAAGCTTTTGGAAGTTTTCTGTGTAAGATCAAGAACAAGTGTTTTTAGCATATCTGTGTCATTGCAACTGGAAAGAGGTTTCTATCCAGTTGTAGCAGCATCTGTTGTATCTCTGTCCTGCCATAGCCAAACCTCATTTCTCACAGACCTCTCAAAACTTATGGCCCAATAGTTTATAAATGTTTGACATGCAGAATGGGAGAGAGGGTGGATGAGAAGAAAAGAATGGGAGAAGCTGGGTGTGCTGTTTCTTAACAAAAGAAGATTGACGATAAGTCGGTTCAGCTTGTGACTTCTTGAGATATCCCTGTGGTTCAGGAGACACCCCTCACAGACTTCTCAGCGTAGCACAACGTAAACATTACAGTGAATGAGAGTGTCCTGTTCCTCTTCATTTTTTAATGTTAGCCTTCAGAAAAGCGAGTCCGTAGAGCTTGACACATGATGTAAATATTTACTTTGTTTTACTGTTTCGATTGCATTAGTCCTCATGTGAGAATTTATTACTATCTATACAATTACTGATGGGGAAAATGTTCTGTACCATTGAACTCCTTACATTAAAATCTTTTAATTTACATTAGTTATATACAGTGGGTACGGAAAGTATTCAGACCCCCTTCAAGTTTTTCTGTCAATATGGGGTGCTGTGTGTACATTAATGAGGAAAAAAAATTTACTTAAATGATTTTAGCAAATGGCTGCAATATAACAAAGAGTGAAAAATTGAAGGGGGTCTGAATACTTTCCGTACCCACTGTACACTGCCATTCAAAGTTTTGGGGTTGGTAAGAATTTTTTATTTTTTTTGGACGAAGTCTTGTGCTCACCAAGGCTGCATATTTGATCACAAATACAGTAAAAACAGTAATATTGTGAAATCCAAAGTTCTGTCATGAAACTCTAGATGGTGCAGTCCAATAGGTCAAACTCAATCTGACATAATGACATCATTATCACATGGTGCAGCTGATTTTTATTTATTTTTTTGGTTCTTTTTGTATCAGCAGCCAATGAGCTTGCTGCTCAACATTCAAACACTTAGCTAGTGCTTGCTGTAGCAGTTGAAGTGCACTTCAGAAACCCTCCACCTTCCCCAGCTCCACCTGTATCGATCTGTTACGGGGTGATTTCATGGGTTATATTATGGGGTTAATTCATATATGTTATACAGTATGTGCAGCAGCAGTATTTCTTACATGCTCACAACAGCATGTTGTGGATGTATTGGAAATAGCAAGTCTCGGTCTCTGCAGCAGCAGCAGAGTAGCAGATCTATTCCGCCAAGACCAAACACATTAACATTGTCATGTACATTACCATGCCAATCCCTCCGAGAGTTGTCATGATAGAAATATTATTACAATTTCAAATAACTGTTTTCTATTTTTATATATTTTGAATTATAATTTGAATTCCTAAGATGGATTTTCAGCAAAGATCACTCCAGTTTTCAGCGTCACATGATCATTCAGAAATTATTCTATTCGTTTGTTTACATGGAAACTGTGATGCATTTTAAGGATTCTTTGATAAGTAGAAAGAAAGAGCAGCATTTGTTTGAAACCATTTTTAGTCATTTTATATCAATTTAATGCATCCTTGTTGATTAAAACTATTATTTCTTTAAAAAGAATACAGCACCCAAACTGAATGAATGGCTGTGTATGCATATGTAACGATAGTCTCATCTCCAAAAATTTGAGCTGAAACATAAGTGATTACTACAGTCCTCCCAGCAATACATTTTCTTTTTAGACAAGAAAAAGTATAGAATCTTCTGTCTAGATTCTAATTAATGGTGCCTTTTTGTTTCCTAGCAATATTTTTCTTCTTCATTAGTTCATTCCAGTATTCATCAGTGTAAATATAACCTTCTGCAAATACTTTCAAAAAGGCTGGAACAATAGACCTGTTCTGGTATTCTCTATCCAAATGATAAAACTACTCCTTGTGTTACTGCTAAACTACTAAATTGCCTCTGCAGTCTCCGTTTTGAGACATTCTGTCTAGCAGATGTCTTGCCGTCCCTTGCTTCCCCAGCAGTTTTGTCTTTCTAAAGTACAGGCCTGTGGAAAACAAAGAGTACCAAAGTCTCAGGGTGCCTGACACCTCCACACACTACAAAGCTGCCCACTGGCCCTCACAGCCCGTGGAAAAAAAAACTGGCCTGTAGACTGACCGCCGGGGGAGATGAGTGTTACACAATCCCCCTTTCTCTCAAAGACTACACAGTGCAGAAAATGAAGTGGCAGGCCGCTCAATGCCACCATTCAGCTCTGCTCCCTCCATGTGGGTGAATACAGGAAGAACTAAGCCCTGCTTTGTCGCTGAATCATGCCAAGAGAAGCATATGTGTTTCCATTAGCTGATCATGAGGGGGTTTTCAATCATTGGCCCACCAATCCAAAAAATGCCACTCTCTTTTGCTAATGGCCCACTGTGAACGGAAAATTGATCATCGTCAGATAGGGTTATAGCACTTTGAAACTCATGAACTGGAGTGTTGACTGACAGTTTAATTTTTCCTCGTTACAGTCTCGTCATATTTTCCTTGATTGCCTCATCCAGAAGGATTAACGTGATGAGTTAACAGCAAATGTCAATCAACCACTGCCAGGGATACAGTAGGGATCCCTGCTTGCACAGACAGCTTATTAGACCCTTTTTACAGGCTGATCTTCATATTATACAATGCATTCTTGCAGCATTATATCAGATATGAAGAATAAATGAAAAGCTTAGGGTCTTCAGTGTGTAATTTTAACTGATAGTCCTTAAGAATTGATGTTTTTGGAAAATAAAAGTTAAATCCTTGTCAACTTAATCTTCATTCAGTCTGCTGTGGATCCATCTTGATTTTTTTTATTTTAGCCTTTTTCCATCCACTCTTTTACTCTCTAACTCTTTTGTCTTGTTATTTTCTAGTCATCGAGGAGAAAGGGGTGAAGATGAAGCTTACGGTAATTGACACCCCTGGATTTGGAGACCAAATCAACAATGAGAACTGGTGAGAGCAACATTATCAGATTAATGCATACCATTTAAAAATGCTGTAGAGTCTGAAAGTTTAAGAGCACATTTAAAATATGGTATTCAAAATCGAATTTAATCTTGAAAATAAACACAGTTTTAGAATTATGAATCATTTTAAAATAAAATTTCAAAACTAGGATACTGTACTATTTCTAGGTCACTATTCAAAACCTAAAAGTATATTTGTGGCTGACATTTGTGACCTTTGTACAGAAGGTCAGATGTTCTGCTGAAGCACTAGATGCTCTTTGGGTCATTATAAAATCATTCTGGAGAACAGGATTATCAGGTTTTACACAGAACCAAATCCAAAAGACATCATGATATTCATGTTGATTCAACTGTTTTTTTTTATTTATGTTGATAATATCATTTTCACTTGATCAGGCTCAGGCTTTTGGACTCCACTGTAGCTGTTCAGATAGCTCTACAACTGTGTGAGATAAATTCTTTAGTAATTAGAGAGCATTTTGGCATAAGCTTTACACTAAAATTGTGCTTCGACTTTGCCTGACTGCTACATTAACTTTAAGTATAAGCATATGTTGTTAATTGTGATGATAATCCTTCCCTGTGTCTTTTTTCTCAGCTGGGAGCCCATTGTAAAGTATGTCAATGAACAGTATGAAAAATACCTGAAGGAGGAGCTGAATGTCAACAGGAAGAGAAGAATCCCTGACACCCGCGTTCATTGCTGTGTCTACTTCCTGCCAGCCACTGGACACTGGTGTGTGTCAACTTCCTGCACGCATCATGTGGTTCACACCTAGCCATATGTGTTAAAATGCTGTTGTGCGTCTGTCACTTTTAATATGACATGGCTTCATTGCACAATCTCAGTGGTCTTAGTTTGGAGATTTTAACCCACTAACCTACAGTAGTGAGAGTTTGTGAAAAATCATTCTTTTGGCAGCAAAACATATGCATCTTACTGAAAACAGTCTGACAGCTGTGAGGTAATTGCTGTGTTTTGGATGCAGTGGACCTTAACATACAGACATAATTTGTAAATCATTTAAAATTTTGATATTTAATGTTTGCAATGCATCTTATCTAGGAAAATATGCACTACTGTTCAAAAGTTTGGGTCGGTAAGATTTTTTGTCAAGTAATCATATATTTGAAAAAGTCTCTTATGCTCACCAAGGTTGCATTTATTTGATCTAAAAATGCAGTAAAGACAGTAATATTGTTACAATTGAAAATAACTGTTTTATATGTTAATGTTTTAAAATGTAATTTATTCCTGTGATGGCAAAGCTGAATTTTCAGCATCATTACTCCAGTCTTCAGTGTCACATGATCCTTCAGAAATCATTGTAATATATTGATTTGCTGCTCAAGAAACATTTATTATCATCATCAATGTCAAAAAAAGTTGTGCTGCTTAATATTTTTGGAGAAACCATGATACATTTTTTCATGATTATTTGATGGATATAAAGTTCAAAATAAATTTTTAGTAACATTATAAATGTCTTTACAGTCACTTTTTGATCAATTTAATGTATCCTCGCTAAATAAAATTATTTAAAAAAATTACTGACCCCAGACTTTTGAATGGTGTATGTAACATTATTTTGTTACTTCAAAAGCTATTTCAACAGCTATTTTAGCTTCACATGATCTAGATTTATCTATTTTCATTTATTCATTTAGAAGATGCTTTTATCTTATAGCAAATTATCTATATGGTTTGTATTCAGAGAATACAGAAGTCAAAAAGGTGTTAAATGTGTAAACGGTGTAAAATGGCCCTTAGTAATGATCCATCCTGCTCTTCTCCAGGTTACGCCCTATAGATGTGGAGTTCATGAGGAGACTGGGGAAGATAGTGAGCATCGTCCCTGTGATCGCCAAAGCAGACACGCTCACTCTGGAGGAGCGGCTAGAGTTCAAACAGAGGGTGAGCGGTCCGTCATCAACACCTGCGCGCAGAACTTCACTCACATTTTATGATATGCAGGCACAATCGGATTCACCCCTCTATGTTTCCCACCCACACGTAAATATTCAGCCCTTCGCATAATTGAGGTCATGAATATGGATGACCTGCTGCTGTAAATGCTGGAATTTTCAAAATTGACAGTTCAGCTGTGTGGATTAAAAAAAAGTGAGATGGATTGAAAAACCTGGGCTGAATGGAGCGAGAGAGAATCATCGCATTCGAATTTGGCATGCGGCCGCTCGCTCTGGGTTGGAAAAATGAATAGGCCACACTAAGGTTATGAGCAGTGTCTGCGACGTCTCCGTCGGGAGACGGTCTCTCCTCTGACTGATGTATAGCTACTACTTGGGCCCGGGCCACTTGCCATCAGTTCTCCCCACGGAGCGCTTTTGGACAGCTCCGACGGCACGGACCGCAGGGCCAGAACGGCCCCCGCACGCAGTGTGTCTCCTATCAATATACACCAAACAACACTCCTAATGATGTACTCTGTCATTTCAGCCCATTATCCAGAGCTGTCTCTCACTGCTCAATAGCCCGAGCAGAGCGCCGTGCGGGGGCGGACGTCACACTGTGCTCAAAAAATCAATCGCTGATATCATATCCATGTACAACAGCCGCACTCCAAAATCCTCCCCTACACGAACACATGGCAGCAAAGGCATTAATGTCTGATGCTTTGCACCTCGGGCCCGAAATTCTGGCTGTGAGGGAGGGGGGAAACAGAATTTCCTGGTGAACTTTACTGTGGCCTCTGAGTGCAAGAATGCATGAGGGCTGAGATTGAGACTAGTAAAATACAGCGGGAAGAGCTGGAGGGAGAGAAGCTGCTGTCATATTTCACCCCCGGGGCGAGTGTGTGGGTTTTGTGTATATGTGTGTGTGCGGTAGGTTGTAAAAATCAGTGTAAATCCATCTAACTGGAAGCTTCTCTCTGCAGATAAGACAGGACCTCCAGGCCAACGGGATCAGAGTGTATCCACAGAAAGAATATGATGAGGATGCTGAAGACCGGATACTCAACGATAAGATTAGGGTATGATGGCGCTACTTTAAGAATTTATTGCTGTGCTGTGTTGATCTAAATGGTTAGTTCACCCTAAAATGATCATTCCTGTTGAAGGGTTTAGAAATTATGACAGAGGTATCATTTTTGGGGTTGACATTTTTTTTGAAAATGTGCTCATCTTCAGTCCATCCAAGATGTAGATAAGTTTGTCTCTTCATCTGAACAGATTTGGAGAAATTTAGCATTACATCAATTGCTCACCAATGGATCCTCTGCAGCAAATGGGTGCCGTCAGAATGAGAGTCCACACTGCTGATAAAAACATCACAATAATCCACAAAACTCCAGTCCATCAGTTAATGTCTAGTGAAGCGAAAAGCTGTTTGGAAGAAACAAAACCATCATTAAGCCTTGAAAAAGTCTATCCCCTGTTGTTCTCTCACATCAAAACATACATATTTGTTTAGAACTGTTTTTGTCTGTTTTTGCTTGTAAACGGAGCTTGATCTATGCATATTTTGCTCCTGATTCAGACAAGATGATGTTGTCACTGGAAAAAGAAATATTATTGATAGATAATAGGACTCATGCCGGAAGCAGTGGTTTTAAGATAAAATGTCTTGATGCATTTGTTTCTTACAAACGCACAGCTTATCACAAGATGTTAATTGATGGACTGGAGTCATGTGCATTACTTGTGGATTATTGTGAGGTTTTTATCAGATGTTTGGACTCTCATTCTGACGGCACCCATTCACTGCAGAGCATCCATTGGTGAGCAAATATTGTAATGCTCAGTATCTCAAAATATGTTTTGATGAAGAAACAAACTAATTCACATCTTGGATGGCCTGAGGGTGTGTACATTATTAGCAAATTTAAATTTTTATGTGAACAATTTCTTTAGTTGCTTTAAGTGGATTCGTACTTTGTACTTAATGACATTTTGAGGGTGTGGCGAATGTTTCTTTCAGGAAAACATCCCCTTTGCTGTGGTGGGAACAGATAAGGAACACCAGGTGAATGGGAACAAAGTCTTGGGAAGAAAAACAAAGTGGGGGATCATCGAAGGTGAGAGTCTGAAGACATCGTCTGCTATGAATTGCTGGTCACCAGTAATATTTTCTGTTTTGGATGCTGGTGTCTCCGCCAGGCTTCTTAATGAGTTTCACCAGAAAGATTGTTGATTGACCTACATGGAAACCCATGCTGGTCTTTTCAGCAGGGTAACTGTAACAATTGTCAAATCTAATTGTGTAATGATAGCTGACAGGCTTCACAAGGCAAGATCGTCGGTGATTTAGGTTATTCAACACTGCCATCAAGTGGTGTGTGTCGAAAGTACAGTGAAGCAAAATCCCTGGATGAATTCTTGAACATGCCTTTCTATTTTGTTTATTTCAGTTGAAAATGTTGCGCATTGCGAGTTTGCACACTTGAGAGATCTTCTTATCAGGTAAGTCATATTTTTTCAGTTGCAAGTCTTCAAATATCATATACAGAATGACATTAGTACACCTGTACGGCATATGATTTTGCTATTTAGGTCAAATGGGAGCAGCCAATTATAACCCTTACATTATGGCTGACAGGATTAGATCATGTAGAACATACCCCAATCAAACTTTGTTTTTTAGAATATGGTCCAAACCGCAAGATCAATGGTATCCCATACTAGTTTAAAATCAAATATTCAACTATAGGCTGACTTCCTCAAGAGTACAAAACTGGTGGTATTGCCCAACATGTCAATTTCTGGCTCAACTAATGTTTTTAGACATTCTCATCTCATCCCATAAAAAAATAATAATAAATAAACAAAAAATACCAAAGGAATGCTAACTGAATTTATATCATAATCATATAATATCATCATAATCATATAATGATTTCAAATCATAATTTAGAACCAATCCTACCTGGGGGGAAAAAAACTAAAATCTTCTATTAAGAGCATACTGGAAAAAAACTACAATTTTATTTAATTTTTGTTTTATTGTCTTTCTTTTATTTTGTTTTATGTTTTTTTTTTCATTGCATTCTAAAATATCCTTTTTTAAATCATTTGATTGTATCCTGTACTATTTTAGTTGATTTTTACATAGTTTTTATTTGATTATTTTTATGGTTGATTCCAAGTTATGAAAGAAATTCCATTAGCATTCCTTTAGATTTTTTAAACAACGGATTGGTCAGAATTTCATCCAGTTATAACTAACGGTTCCACTATTAAGTGGCCTCAACTTCTATGTACTTACATAAAAATAAGTACAATGTACTTGTGTTCATATTGTATTGCAAAACACTTTTTCTGCTATTGAGGTGAAATCCGGGTAAGGTTAGGGACAGGTTTGGTGGTATAGGTAGGTTTAAGGGTGGTTTAAGGTGTGAGGGATGGGTCAAGAGTGTAATTATAAATGTAATCACAGAAATTTATTACAGATGTAATTACATGCAGGTATTTTTTAAAATATAAGTACAATGTAAAACATGTATGTACACAATAAGTGCATTGTACCAAATGATTAATTTAAATGTAGGTACATAGTAGTTATAATTTGGGACCAAACTAACTGTTCTGGTCACATGCTATCACTTTTACAAACCTTTGCTTTTTAGATTTAACCAGCTGAAATGGTTATCAGCTTTCTAAAGTGGATCTATGAGTAGTGGGGCCGAACGGCTCAGGAAAGGGACAGCTGAGAAAGGCAAGAGTGCATCCTTTCCTGTGAGCTCAGTAAAGGACAGGTTAATTACAGAGTCCGATCGGGTGAGGCCATGTCACAAAGCCCTCTCGCCACAACTCTTGGATGGCGGCCCGTTGACAGATGGTATGGGAGTGATTCCCTGCTGAAATGGGAAACAAAGGATGACCGTTATAAGTCTCCACACTTTTGAATCGCCTTTCACACTTTTTGATCGGCCTCCTGCTGAAGCCGAGATCAAATTACACCAGGAAAACACCAACCGAATCACACAAAGGGATCATAAAAAGCTGATGTAGTCAGAAAACAATTCAATTCCACATAAGAGAATGCCTTTTATTTTACACTGTGCATATTTCCCTTAGGGGATGTTATTGTGGGATCAAAATTGATATTATGCTCTACTGCGCTCTACTTTCAAGGTCCCACCTGCAAGATTTGAAGGACGTCACTCACAACATCCACTATGAGGCCTATAGGGTGAAAAGACTTAATGAGAGCAATGCCAATGGACTGGCGCTTTCACCTTTGATCCTGGAGAACGGTACCCTAGAGAAGAGCGATGCAGAGAGTCACCATTGAAAGAGAATGGAGCGTGTGCCCGTCCTTCACCCCCAGTCAGAATGGGAGAGATGAACATTTCACCTCTAGATTGCCATTGATGGAAAATCGACACGTTTGACTAAAGACATTTCTGCTTAGGTGTGTAAACGTCATATATGAGTCTATTTTTGAAATGAATCTATCTTGTGGGTAGGGTTCTGGGATGAATTATGGGTAGAATTGAACCAGGTTTTGGCTAAGAGAAAGTTTCCCTCTATTTTTTTTCTCTCTCTTGATATCTTTGATCTGTTTTCTGCCAAATGAATGGCACAGAGGGTTGGCATGTTGGAAAACGTGTGTGTGTTCCTGCACGCCTGACACCTCGCTGGATGAGAAAATCCCATAATCCCTATCTGTGTTACTGCACCTATATATTTACACTGAACCAGTAATGTGACATGCTCCTTTTGATCTTTTATTTTCGTAATTATTTTAGTTTTTTTACTGCAAAATATGATCTTTCCCTGTACTTTTGTAAAAGAAGAGGTTAAAAAAAAAAACTTTAGACAAATATTTTTGTTACCATAGCTGCTTCGAAGCTGAAGGTATTTTCTTAACAGATCCTTAAAGAGTCTCTTACTGCTATCCATAAATGACTGCTGTGATGATAGCCAGTGTGTTGATATAACGGGACATTTTTCAAATATAACCTTTGACCTTAAAGGTCTGGTGTGAAATGTAATACTATTGATCACTTCTAATGCAGAGATGGATAAAGGAACAAGAGAAAGCCGATTCTTACTGATGTTTGCCGTACAGTAACAGGTCAAGCTTACGGTTGTATGTAGGGATGTTTTTCTTTCACTAACCTAGTTAACTTACTGTTTAAAGGTACACATTGTGCTGTTTACTTCTCTCCACTGGACGTCAGGAGTCCATCTTTCCCTGTTGCTTATCAAAGCTATTGTACATATCCATAATGTGTTCTAATTTTCTATCACAGTATCACATTTTTTTACTCGACATGTATTAGCGGCATCATCATCATTTCCTTGTTACTAATATTACTATACATGTAAACACCATTGATTTATGATTAAAAAATTGCCACCGTTCAATTTTTATGTGGAGCCACTGATCAATGTTATTAGTTTCATTGGAGATTGCTGTAATATTATACACTACCGTTCTAAATTTTGGGGTCAGGAACATTTTCTTTTTTTTTATGAATGATAAGAAGTGTCTTAGTCTCACCAAGGATGCATTAATTCGTACAAAATGCAGTCAAAAACGAATTAAAATTTCAAATACCTGTTTTGCTTTAATATATTAAAAAAAAAAATTCTGTAATGGCAATGCTGGATTTTCAAAAGCCATTACACCAGTCTTTAGTGTCATATTATCCTTCAGAAATCTTTCCAATATGCTGATTTGGTACTTATGAAACATTTTTATATTATTATCATTATTATTATTTTATTAGTTTTATTACTAGTTGGAAATGGTTGTGCTGCTTGATGAAGTCCGGAAGTGTTTTTTTTTTTAACTCTTTAAGCTAAAAAGGTCAAGAAAAATAAATCTGTTTACATTATAAATGTCTTTACTGTCACATTGGGTCAATTTAATGAATCCTTGCTGAATAAAATTAATTTATTAAAAAACAAAAACTTACCGACTCCAAACTTCTGAACAGTAGTGTATGTTCATGTGATAGTTGTATGTACAATGACTTGGAATGGAATCTCTTATTATTATTATTATTATAGAATGGCCTAAACTCTTTACTGAAGACCGACGGTTAGGCAGGTGTCTTTCTGCATTTAAAACCTTAATCATACCTCAACAGTCACTTCACCTTTGATCCGTTTTCTTCTTGTCCTTGTTTGTGTTTTTATCATTTGTGAAAGCTACTGAGTGCCAAGTGAAGACGTTTTCTTTGCGACTTGCTTCAGGAGTGTTAACATCAGGCTAAATTTGCCAAAATAGCTTACTTAAGACTCTTATATAACACGTGCTTATAAAGCAGAGCCCCAACTGCCTGATTGAAACATCTTTTATCAAGCTCTGTGGGATAGGTTTTTGTTGGCCTGCAAAGCACAACTAAGCTTTTCTTCGTTTTCAGAGCCTTATTCATTAACAAAAATTGGTCTCTGGGGTTAAAACACTAATACAAATGGTGTGTCTCAAAATAGGCAAGGTAGATGTGTTTGTGTGTGCGTGCACATTCAGGAAGCAACATTCAAACATACAGTAACAGCTAACAGCATGTCTTAAAGGAATAGTTCACCCAAAAAATAAAAAATCGGTAATTTATTCACCTTATCACCCTTATATGTTGTTCCACAGAAGCAAGCTGTACAGTTCAATCATTAAATACATTTTGGGGTGAACTATGCCTTTAACAATTGAATGTCAGAGAAAATTAATGACGCAAATATGGTGCTTATTTTGTACAACTTTTACTAAAACGGTGCAGACTGGAACCAACCAACTGAAAACAACAACGCTTGTCTGACAAGGCACTGCAGCCATGAGATGGAGTTCATAAAACTGTCTTTTTTCTCTCATTTTAAATTAACCACTACAACAGTATTTACAGAAAGAAATGTACCCTAAAGAACTGAGAACTGTGACATGCCCATGTCACACCAAAGAAATAAAATACCAAAGAAATGAGAGAAACATTTTAGATAATCAGTGTGAGGCAGATATTTAACATTGCTCATTAGGCTGTTGAACCACATTCACCCAAACCAAGTGTTTGCACCAGAATAAAAGTCGTTGTTACGGACCCTGTATGAATGTCAAAAGCATTACTAATATTGGTTTAGTATTACATGTACAAGTACATACAAAGAGCCAACAAAAGAGCTGTTTTCTGTTGTTGAATCATGTCGTTCTCAAATTTGATAAAAGAAACAATCCTGACATATGTTAGTTGGGAAGAGTTAGAGGAACAGATGATTTATTCTATTCGCTTAACAACTAGAAGCGCCAGACATTTAGAGTTAAAAGCAAGCTGGAGGGTGAACAGAAACTGCCAACACACTCTGGATGTGGTAAGCTAGTAAAACCTTCAGAGCGCAAGATCAGAAGAGCACTATTCATGGAAACTGGCCTTGAAAATGGTTTCAATTTACAGTGTAAATCAGACAGAACCACTCCATATCTGCCAGCCAGATTTGTCTGGTAAGAAAACGAAATTCACACAGTAGTACCAGTATTTCATTGACTCCCTGCCTCGATCGTATGAGGAAGGCAGCAGGCGTAAGGTCAATGTAGACACACAATAAACATCTGCTAATGTTCTTGCATTTAGCCCGTTTTAACATGTCTTTGATATTAGCTCAATGTACAAAGTGAAACAAGCTTAAAGGCACAATATGTAAGATTTTTTTTTATTAAAATATCCAAAAACCACTAGAACAGTGTTATATATTTTGCTGACTTGTGTACTTACATTATCCCAAATGTTTCCAAGAATGTTTAAATCCAGAGAAATAAGCAATTTTAACTAGTGACACGGATCATGTCCATAGTGTCATTGTGTCGCCTGCCAATGACGTCATAACCCCTTGATTTCCGGTTTTGTTTTGTAGAAAACATGGAAACACCAAAGATGCTTTAATATGTTGTGCGTTTTATTAGACCGGTGACGACCGCACAGAGTAGCATTATAACAGAACTTTCAAACGTATCTAGTATGATAAAACAGCGCTGCTTTTTTTCCCACATACGCACAACCGGAAGGAGCGGAAGCAGTCGACTGTGGCATAATAAAAGCTCCGCTGCTTTCGAGTCGTGTATCACGCTCGTTCAGCGGCCTCGTTTCGCTTCGACGGCTTTCAGCCTCACCCTGCTTCATTCTACTGCGTTAATAAATCATTAGCTCATCCATGAACATGATTTCTGCCCGAGTCCCGTCGGATTGCATCGGCCGAGTCCCGTCGGATTGCATCGGCTGTGGGGATGAAGACGACAACTCCCATGATTCCACACTCAGTCACGCCGTCATCAAACTACGCCTTTGTCTATTTGTTTATTTTGAATACGTACCCTCCAGCGGCGAAAATCACATATTGTGCCTTTAAGTCTTTTATACTATCCATTGCTGATGTTACTCATCGCTAAAAGACATGAACCTTTTTGCATATCTTGCCTCTTTCTTGACCAGGTTTCTCCATTGGCTCGTTTCGTTGAAAGCGGTATGGACGTGTGCGCTTAGAGCCAGGCAGCCTCAAAAACAGTTGAAACCTTCTGACAGATGACCTCGACATATTGAGATATTTACAGATTACAGTGGGGTTAGTGCACGAGTTATTATATTTATATTGAGGGTTCTATTAGGTGAAAAAGTTCCCACACACATAAACTCTCATTCTATACAAAAAGGGGAAAAGGCTCGGTTTGGAAGTGAAAACGATAGTATTTATACAAGATTAATACAATATCTCTGACAGTTTCATACAGTTGTCCTCAAATACTATGCAATGCCCTAGCGATATATTAATAATCTCTCTTTATTTCATTCATCTCAAATGGTTGTTTCTATTATGGAGACATACGAAATGAAAAGCGCTTTGATGGGATTTCCTTCAGATCTTTGCTAGTGAATAAAACCTGCCGCATTCTTTGTAAGACTATCAAATGAGTGTAAATACTGCAATATGTCTTCTAATAGTTATCAGGATACCTCATTTGAGCGCAGGCATATGAACTGGTGTAGAATATTTACCATCCAATCCTGGACACAATGCCGATTCACTAGATTAGGCTACTAGACTTTATGACAGCGTCTCTCAACTTACATCCATTTTACAACCAAAAACAAAAGAGTTGAACTAGATTAGTCATTAAAGGGCTAGAAAAGGTAGGTCAACTCACTGTCAGCCAGGCCTCTGTCAACAAGTTATTGCCCTTCCATTCTTCTGTCAGCTGTGTCAACAGTCTGCCTGCCAAAAAAAGCACGTGCCTCAGAGACCGCGGTTATTCTAACCGTCGAAACCATGGTTTAAAAAAAGGAGCAAGTCATCTGAATAAAGCTCAACTCCAATTTCCATAGTAGGCCCCATCAAAAAAAAAAAAAAAAAGTACTACTTCTAAACAAACCTTGTACAATCCTCGGAAATGTAATAAATAAATATGTTCATCGTGTCAATAAATTAACCCATTAGCAATAATAAGTAAAAGCAAATAAATACGTAACAACTTCAATGATTCAAAAGATAAAGTCACACAAGGTAGTGAGATTAAAAGTCACAGGGGATCTCGCCTTTAGCTGTAACCCCCCATTAAACAGGTCACCAAGAAGGGAGATCGACTGTCTGAGGTGAGTGCTAATGTTTATGCTAATGTGTCTTTTAGTAGATATAATCTTTCCAAAGAGGGCCCCAAAAAAAAAAAAAAAAAAAAAGTACTACTTCTAAACAAACCTTGTACAATCCTCGGAAATGTAATAAATAAATATGTTCATCGTGTCAATAAATTAACCCATTAGCAATAATAAGTAAAAGCAAATAAATACGTAACAACTTCAATGATTCAAAAGATAAAGTCACACAAGGTAGTGAGATTAAAAGTCACAGGGGATCTCGCCTTTAGCTGTAACCCCCCATTAAACAGGTCACCAAGAAGGGAGATCGACTGTCTGAGGTGAGTGCTAATGTTTATGCTAATGTGTCTTTTAGTAGATATAATCTGTTATCTTTAAAGCCTAGTGAATTTAGAGTAGGATAGTGTAGTGTCCACTTAAAGACTGTGATGTTGGAATTACACTGACATAGTTTCCATCTGTTTGTTCTAAACTTTTTGGAGTAAGATTAGCTTAATGTTTCAATCTAAGCGGTTTATAATAGCTGGAGAAAGCTAGCAATCAATTAGAATTGTCATTAATCTCAACTGTACACAAAATCAAGGTTCCTTACTGGCAAAATGGTTGTTAAAAGAACTGTTCACTGCAAGATTCTTTGGAAAACTGAATATGGTTCTTCAATGCCATCACTCTAGCAACCTTTGTTTTTAAAAGATAGTTATTAAGTCAAAATATGTTGCTAATTTTGGATGGTCATCAATGTAGTCAATCAATACTTTTTGCATCCAGATGATGTAGTTCAGGCATGTACCAGCAGGGGCGCTGTAGTGGGACAGCATGCCTCAAAGTCTCTAGTCGACTAGTACATTTCTGTACACTTTCCTGAAGAAAAACGTACCAAATTGCATGCACTA